GCTTTAGGCAGGGCTGGACAAATCCCAGGAGTCGGGCAGCCGGTGCGCCTTACAAATGACAACTGATGCCTAACTTTTGATGTTTTCTATGGAGCGGTCAATCTCAAGGAAGCGGTCAATCTATCACAGGCTGGCCGCTGGCACCCTAACCTGCCTGTTCCTGCCTTGTCTCTCCTACCTCACCATATGAATATCAGTACAAGCTTTACCTTTCTGCAAATCAAAACCTGCACTGTGAACAGTTCTCGGGCCTTCGCGATTGGTTACCTGGGCAAAGAACGCTGAATGGTGGGAGGTAGATGGCAGGTTGTCACGTTACCAAAAATCAGGATTCTTCGAGGGGCCGAAGTAACAAGGAGATGTGGACAGGTAGGAGCAAACACCATTTCTCTTAAAACACAGAATCACTAAGTTATTCTCATTAAGGAATTAAAAGGACATTTCCAGGTTTGTGGTGTATGTTGAGGTGAAGGTGTGTATGTAAAGGTGTGTGTGTGTGTGATCGTTACAAACCTGCATCTAACTCATAGTCTGTCCTTCTCTGTGTCTGGCGGACCAGATGAATCCATTTATTTATTTTTCCCCATTCTTCTAATGGTGGCCAGTCTCACTAAGAGCAGATGACGCCATGTCCCTTTACTTTCTGGAACTTTGGGTCCCCCCTACTGGAATGGGTTACACTGCACATCATCTCCCCCATCCATTGGGCTGTAAAATGGTCTTTAGTTCCCCTTTAATATAAGGGTTAAAGTAACAATCAAATGATTTAATTACAAAAGAACAGCCTGCCCAGAGCTCAAGGTTTGCTCGGTTTATGTGAGAAGCAGGAGTGAGCCAGAACAGTGTGTTTAGACGGTAATAAAAGAGAAAGGAATAAATGGACGGGCTGATTAAATGGAGGGATTATGTGCCGGTCTGCAGGAATGTAATGCCATGTCCCACTACTCAGACTAATAGGCTGTAATTACTATACTGGAGGAAAACAAAACATACTAAAAGGACTATCGTGGACCCCAATCATCATAAGGATTACTTCATATGTAAAATCTGAACACATCTGTGTTCCATGTTATACTTTTAGGCCCCACAGTTGCAAATGGGGCCGGATCACTGATCATCATGAACTCCTTTATAAGACTCATGTGATCTGTAGCGGCAGGAGATGCTGTATAATACAATGACAGCGGACACCACCCGCAGCTGTTCGCAGGTCGTTTGCCTGTAATTGCACATGCTGTGATGTCCCACAGACGACCGCCCCTGGATGCAGCCCTATTTGTAAGTGTGAATTGGGCCTAAAAATGTAACAGATTGCCTAGGAGCAGACACCAGAAAACGCCGGCTATTGCCTTTTGTGAAAGGGGCATTCACCGATTTAGTTCTACTTTGTTTTTCCAAAGGTCTGACCTCCCCTGACGTCTAAGCTCCAACAGGTCCCTTTCCACTGTCTATAATATGAAATCACCTGCACTCCATACAGCGTACAGACCTTGGATAAGAGGTTGGTGCTTGAAGTGACAACACGGATGGCGCTGTGTCAGATATAGTCCATAATAGAAGTCACCAGCACTTGATGATATGTGCTGAGCTGACCTGAATTTGTTCCCTCTAGAGAAGAGGTGGAAAGTCCCTCCTTTCCACTATCTGACACTAGCCCATTGGCTGTGTCAGAGTGCCGTCGCCTTGGGTATAACAAGGCGACGGCACTCTTTAATCCACTTCTTTTTCACAATGTGTGTGGCTTTATTACTAGAATACCTGCCTGTGTTGGCAGCACACTGGAGAGCCGGGCCGATGCTCTCATGCAGAGCCTGACAGTCTGGATCTCCAGAGATTCGACACTCGCCCCAGCACAGTATTCCCAATCAATGACTCTGCTCGAGGAGCCCGAGTGTTGCCGATTGGAGTACGGTGCAGTATCAATCTGCTGGAGACCTAGACCACTAGGCTCTGTGTAGGAACAGCAGTCCGGCTCTCCAGTGTGAGCATTCCAATGGTAAACACACATGCAGTACATTGCAAAGAAATAAACAGGAGCAACATATTAGTTTCATTATAACCCTCAATTAAACTTGTTTACTTGTTAAGCAGCTTGACTGCATAACCAGTAAAAAATGTGAGGCTTCAAATTGGCCGTTGACTACATAGAACTATAATGCAATATTTCTTTCATGACAGTGGTCCTTTAACTCTTCCATGACTAGAGAAATAGATCTCTTCTAGACGATGCACCCCATGCTTCTGTTACACCCAATTACTCTCTACTTTGCATCCCAGGCCATTTAACAATCCAGTATATGTATTAATTCAACTTGAATGTGCGTTAGGCTGGCCACACACATTACAATCTAACCGTGCATCTGTATAATTACCAGCAACTATGTAGTTCAAGGGATCTTGCAAGACTGTCACTTGCGGTCAGGTTGGGGGGATTCATGATCATTCATGGAGGTGTCATGTTGTTCAACGCAAATGGGGCTTCCTGTTGTCTAGATCACTAATGACAGCCAATCACATTCACCAAGGAGAACACACAAAAAGCAGTGCTCCTCCACGGCTCAGGGAAAGGAATGACCCGGCTGCTTGTAACTAGGAGCTCGCTCTAATATGAGCCCATAAAAACAGAAGAAAACCAGGTTCCGCTGGGATAGTTTATTGAAACTTGTACCACATCACCGGTGTCCCGGCCAAGGTCCAGCCTCCTGATGCGTTCCACCCAATCCAAGGCTTATTCATAGAGATCCTTCTTTTCTTCTGTTTGTATGGGTCCAAAAACATTCACCAATACCAGGAAGCTGTTGAATTTACTTACTGTCAATTGCAAACCTATGAAGCTAGAAATATGGCAGCTGCCACTGCAGGCTCCACAGTTGTCATTTTGACGCTAGCTTCACTACCTAATTACCTGGATTAATTATGCCGCCAGGGAAGTCTAAGAGAACAGCCATCACCCATGTATGTTCTAGCTCAGTGGCTCACTTGGCAGTAAATCCAGGATCAGGATGACAGCCCTAAAGTTGGTACCTTTAAAAACAAGTCGTCAATGGCAGCCCAGATATTTCCATCCTTCACACGTTCACTTTAATCTTCAGCTCTCTGAAGCACAATTAAAGCTTGGCCTAAAGTCAAGTTCAGTAGGTACATACAAGTACACACAGTGCTGTTTAATATCCGGAGCTTGGCTCTGTATTTACATTCTGGATAACACAGTTTAGCTGTCTATCTTTATTGATTTCCTATTGTCTGTAAGTCTCTGGCTGTATTACACTGCATAGATACACCCTGAGCATTAAAGGGAAAATGCAAAATAAATCAAGGAATGGTTTATTGCCATAGGAAATGGACAAGGATATCCAATACTATCCCCCGCTAGCAAGAAGCTATCTGTTGCTGGCATACACCTGAGAATCTTACTCCAACCAATAATAAAATGGCTGGATCAGTTGGGGGTTATTTAATTTCAAGCAGGGCAAAAGTAACAGGTTTGCTTTAATGCCACCCCTACAGCACATACTGTATTCATCTGTCCTTCATTCCAATGCTGCCCTTGTCACCCACCTGGAGTGAAGATAATACCCAGTATTTTGGGTATGGAGTAGCACTGGACTCAAAACTCTTCCTCTCATGTGACAGCACCGGAACTTGGCGATTGTCCCAAAACATTGACATGAGGAGACAGTCCAGAGCTCTGTGTGAGCTCCAACAAGGGCGACTCAGAGCTTATTCTCCTCACTCTTGGTGGCTGAGTGAAGGAATTTAAGTAAAGCAAACCTATTGCTTTTTTCTGCATGGTCTTCTTGTAGTTTAAATTGGTAGTGAAGCCAGAATCCGGACTGACTCAGAGACTGCACCTTCAAAAAGACATCTTTTAAAAGTCTGGGCTACTTGCACATTTCCATAGGATAATCTACCGCTATTCCCTGTAAAGTAGCCACCGCTCCAAGCTCACTCCTGTGATGGACTACAGTCTCAATACAAGTTAGTAAACTAAATGTGAGATTGTAGTGAGCTTGTAGTGGTGGCTACTTTACAACACACACAGGGACCATGGTGTAGCCACCCTCCAGAAGGAAGGACAGTGTCCGCTCCAATTCAGAGATGATTTAAAAAGATCCACATAGGAGAACTATGGAGGTGAGTGATTTCCATTCATCCTCATAGTTAGAGCTGACCTGTGACGAGGAAGCCGTCACAGGTTGGCTCTATCAATCGGGAAGTGAGCAGAAACATGCACCAATCTGCTCACTTCCCGATTGTCTCCCTGCAGACTGTCAATCACGGCTCCCCGGAGGGATTCCCCCCTCTCTGATCTTCCAGCACTGAGTGGAGGAACAGACAGGGGAAGGGGCGGGCACAGCTGGCTCTTGATCCTCCAGCGCTGACTGGAGGAACGGACAGGGGAAGGGGCGGGCACAGCTGGCTCTGCCTCTAGATAGGCAGAGCCAGCTGTCACTCACACAGCTGGGTGGATCACGACAGTATTGTCGGGATCCATCCGGGCTGCGGCGCTCTCAGTATATGGTGGGCAATAGCTCGCCATATACTGAGCTTTGGGTCACGGGAGGAGGTTAGTATATGTCCCCCCGTGACCCTAAAGAGAACTATGGGAAAACCACTTACCCCATAGTTCTCTTTTAAGTTACACTTTTGTTAAAAATGCATTCAAGTACTCTAATTAAGACCCAAAGCCTGAGTTTAGGGTCACTTTAAGATAGCAAATGTTCACTTTTTTAGTAGAGTATAGGTCCAATTTAAATCAAGGTATTATGCAGGTCAGGACTTATAACCTGCTCGGTCACTTAAGTTAAGAATTCAGGAGGAATTCAGACAAATCTAGCAGCCAAATGTCACCTTTAACAAGGGACAGTCCATACAAAACAGGTTATTTCAGTGACATTTCCTAAGCTACACCTTAACCTCTATTGAATATATGAGCCGATTCAGGGAAAGAGGAGATTTCTGCAATTAAAAAGATCAGATGCAGTTAAACAGACACTTACCCTTCTATCCAGGAGTCGCTTCTTCCGTAGTGTGGCTGGCTCCAAGACAACACGACCCCTCAGGGAAAGCTCAATTAAAATGCCTCCACGTAACCCAGAAGAGATGCAGTCATTCCAGAACGACGTATAACCCTGCATAAAAGACAAGATGAGTCAGAACATTACCTTTAGAACAAAAAAAGCTCACAGCTATAATGAACTCTGTTGCTTTATAACCTCATATCTTACCCTTACCCATAAGTACCCTTTATACTGTAGAAAGTTGCCAGTGGAAGGCGGCATCATTTTACCTTTGTCAAAAAAGCCTTTTCTGTGCCTTGGTTGCTTTGTAAGCTGAAGCCCACAAATCTGAGCCCTACCACCTAACATCTTCGTCCAATCTAGAGAGCCAATAAGTGGCTGAAGGTCACTAGGAGTCTCACAGGCATGTTTAAGTTCCCGAGAAAAATGTATATCAAAGCGCTAAAGGTGTAACAAATAAGAAACTTAGTATAACCAAGTGATATAATGAAATTTTAGGTTTAGGGGGTCTAGCCCTAAAACAAGTGATATCTTACATAGAATCATAAAAAATATATATGAATAAAAATAAAAATAAAGTTAATACAATAGTGCTGTGAAAAAAACAGAAATATACTTCCACTTTAGTTTCCTTTCCAGAAGCGCGGATTATCTATCTCTCATGTTTAAGTTCCCGCATGGGGAAAGTTGACCCCCAATTAAGAAAGTGAATCTAGGCTCAGAATGGTGCACAGCAAAGCATTTCCGATTAAGAACGATAATACCAGACACTTTGTGGAATCCTAGCACACCTGTAATATATTAACAAAATGCTGACAAGGAATAACGATGAAGGTTGTCATGTATTTTGGAAATATCCTGGGGTTTTATTTTTAAAATAACTTTATTTTGTATATGAAAAGTACAATGTTACAGGAATGCACGTTTCACATCACCTGATAACATGAAGTATGGGCAATACAACATCTTCTAGCATGTGCATTAGCTTGTTATATCATCAGAAAAAAAAAAAAATGTTGAATTAGCAAGAACGTTTCAAACAAGAAACAATACCTAATAAAATATAGTGGTATAGTGAAAAACAACAAAACAATATCTGCTCCCTAGTGCTTTCATAGATTTTAGTACAATTGTCAGGGTTCATACCTTCGCCAGTAAGTGAGGTAAAATGGCGCTGAGGCTACTAGTAGCTGTATCTTCCTTGTGCTAAGAGACGATATCTTTATCCTACAGGGTTTATGCGCTTGTCGAACATTCGCTGCTCATTGCCTACCCTGCAGTTTGTCCAAGAGGCGACATGTCGAGAATGCGAATGGGGAAGAGCAGTTTTTCCCTTTCGGAAGGGGAGAACGTGAAGTCCATATAGGACTTCCACCTAGTGTAGAACGTAGTTACCCACTTCTCATTCTGAGTATTTAAAGTTGCATCTAGTCTGTCTAAATGGAATAGATTTATTAAGTCGGCTTCAAGTCTCTTTATCGTGGGAGTACGAGGCGATAGCCATTCCCGAAGGATGCAGCGTGTAGCCACCAATAGAGAGATGCTCACCCATTGTCTGTCTGGACGGCTGAGATTGCTGGGAATAGCTAGCCATTCCCGAAGGATGCAGCGTCTAGCCACCAATAGAGAGATGCTCACCCATTGTCTGTCTGGACGGCTGAGATTGCTGGGAATAGCTAATGATGGGTCCCAATAGTTAAATAGAAACAATAGGACCTCAGTGGGAGTGTTTGGCCTACCACCGATGCGACATACTGTAGAACTGCCTCCCAGAATAGTCGAATCTGGGGGCATTCCCATAAACAATGAAACAAGGAAGCCGCCTGCAGTTTACATTTAGGGCAATGATCGAGGTAGAGCACATCATGAGACCGTTTACTTTTAATTTGGAAAGCATAGTAGGCTCTATGCACAATCTTGTATTGTGTTTCCCTCCATTGCTCGTTGCACACTAGCTTACAGATAGAGCGGTAACCCTGTAGCAATTTCTCAACAATGTTATCAGTTGGAATGTCTTTTTCCCATGTGGTAAGATTGGAATCCGCTAGAGGTGGCAGGCCAGCTTGCCGGAGGTAAGTATAAATGGACGATATAGAGTTTGTGTCTGTAGAGGCTATTCTGTCCAGGTGTGTTCTGACCAATACATTGGGAAAGATTAGGGTTCAACTTTTTGATGCGAGTAGTGGTTTGCAAGAAGTGTAGGAAATCTTGACCAGGGATCTTGTGTACATTTTGGAATTCTGGGAACATGAATAACTTGGTGTACGTCACATTTATAATATCAGTGAAGTGTGATATCCCCTAAGACTCCAATTTGACAAAGGTGTCATAATCTTCTCCCTGCTGAAAGGAGGGGTTTCCCCTAAGCGGCAGATGCTTAGAAAAGTAAGGGTTCATCTTCAGCAATTTCTGTGTTTCCCTCCAAGCGATGATTGTGTCTCTGATGAGTATGTTGGAGCTGATAAGATCGGGTATGGCCGAAAAGGGGCAGCGGAGAAGGGATGGGAGCCTCCAGGGTTACACCATCTCCGTCTCCAAAAGGAAGTTGGAATAGCGGGAGGAAGAGTGTGTCCAGTCCACATATTGTGATCAGCGCAATCAGGGGTGCCTTCCCTTTCCAAGAGCAATTTGCTAACCAATCGCTGGCCAGAATGAGCGAAGTGCGCTTTCACTATCAATTCCTCACAGGCGGAGTGCATTTGGTATCACTCCACATGTGATAGGAGCTGGCGCTATAGAGGAGGCATCGGCTTATGTGGCTCTGCTCCCTCCGCTGCCGCCTCGCTTCCTCTAGCGCTGGTTTCGTTGGCACCACTGATTCTCTTCCGCGGCTCTTCAAGTTCCCCCTTATGCCACCACTGGCCCCGGGAATGGTCACAACTAGGTCTTATTTTCGGGGTAGGTCTTATATTTTCGCAATTCCCAAAAATAGTACTAGGTCTTATTTTTGGGGTAGGTCTTATTTTCAGGGAAACAGGGTATGATACATTTCAGGCAAAGAGATACAAGGAGATACAATGTATCTCTTTGCCTGAAATGTATCACTTCTCATCTCTGAGCAGGATCAAAGACCTTTAGTGAGATCTGAATCTGACATGCTGTCAGGATCAGTCTCTAAGGTTATTATTAGCTGTTTCCAAGTTTGGAGCAGCCTAATAATAACCAAAAATTAAAAAAAAGTTACATTTATCAGTCATAGTGACTGCTCGATATAAAACTTTTTTTTAACTTTTTTTACAGTGTAAAAAAATAAAGTGTAAAACAAAATTATATATAAATATGCTTTTTATACTATAATTTAAAAAAATTCTAGAAAATATATAATAAATCAAAACTTGTGAAAAAAAGTGTTTTCTTCTAGTTTATTTTCCTAATTTATTTTTATATTTTATTCAAAGTGAGGCGTTAGGTACACGTTTGATATAATTATATAGCTCTATCTGTCCTCTAAAAAACAATATATAATATGTGTGGGTACATTTAGTAAAAGTATATTACTGCTGTGGAAGACTTACACAGCAAAAATATAAAAAAGTGTGTCAGTCATTTATGAACAGAAATTGAAAACTAGCTCAGTCATGAAGGGGTTAAACATATCCTCCTATAGCTGCCATGCTAACAAGAGAGGTGCTCTTCAAAGTGCTGACCTTCTATGCTGAATTTTTTAGGGCTGCAGCTAACTATTATTTTCATAATTGATTAGTTAGCCGATTATTAAGTTCGATTCGAGTCGATCGACTAATCGGATTTTAAAAAAAAAAGGCTCCAGTGATGGATTTTTAGTTTTTTTTGGGA